TTATCACTTTTTCGTCTCATTCTTTTGTAATGAAATAAAAAGTGTAGAGATCAACCTACGAAAGAAACTTTAACAAGCTTTGATTCTACTTTCGTTGCACTCCGGTCGACTTAACGAAACTTTGACACCAAATAAAATTTGGGGAAATAACCGAACAGCAATTTATTACAAAACAAAAATGGAGAGAAGTACAAACCGAACAACCTTACAAATACTTAGCTTTAAGTATTAATAAAATAAATGACAGACTTAAAAACTGCCAACGACCAAACAACCTTTTAAAATGAAGAACGTTTTAACTTACGACAATTCGACCCCGAAGGCCTTTTAAATTCAACAAGTTCTTCAAATAAAATCTTCTACTCTCTCTAAATTTTCTAATTGCACTATCATTAATAGGCTTTGTAGAGCCGCCAGAGGTATTTTAAACTAAATGTTTGCTAACCAATCGCTCTTAAGATCCGTTTTAGAAAACTACTTTGCACCATTTAAGAAAACAAAAATCACTCAAAGTTCAGACACAACTTACCCTATGATTCCATTACAAAACACTATAAACCAACAAGTTAACTATGAAAATACATCAAACTTCACTTCTAACTTAATTTCTATCATTAATACACTATAAAAGTCAAAAAATAACAGTCTAACTACTTAATAATCAACACAACCTCTGCCAATTTCCATCTTATTTTCTATTTTCCTCACTAAACTTTCCTAATGTGACTTTCGCGTCACGTCATAAAATTCCAAAGTTTCAAATTCATAACAAAAAGTTCAAATTTAAAAAATCAAGTCTTACGATATTATCCATGAACAAAAATCCAAAAATTATAACAGGAAAATTATATCGGACATTAATCCGACCGGTTCCGGAATCCGAATCCGAAAAATCCGGATTTTATAAAGATCACAATAATCGATTATCAAAAAATTTTATATGACTATTACGACTACTTTTCTGATATTAGTATCGCTGAGTATTGACAGTTGATGTTTTAGCGTCAGATTGTACGGTAACTGTACGATTATACACTACATTACAGTACTTTACCGCCATTTTAAAAATCCCCTTTCCCTAAGGATAGGGTTTTGTTACTAAGTCAAATTCCTTTACAATTTGAATAGATGATCAAACGCCCTTTCTTTAGATTAGGCAATAGCTCTATGGCTACTACTATAGTAACCTATATAATACCTTGTAAAATAATGAAGAAGAAAAGATGGTGACATTCTGATTTGGCAGGGTAAAACTTAAAGACACTATCACTTTCTAGGTATTTTCTATAGTAAAATAATACTAGTTACATACTAAACGCTATAAAGGACTCTACTTATAGTCCTTTATAACACTTTGCCTATAAGTAAATACCAATAAAAACGCTGCAGTTTGAGTTTCCGTCATTTGTCATTTAAGAACTTAAAAAAATTTCTATTTCATCATTTGGCGCATATTGATAAGATTTCTGACACCGATAGCGATATTTTATAGGGCATCTTTCAGCTCCTTTTTCTGTCAAATACATATTGAATTCAATACAAGTTATACAATACGGTATCGAGCTCACCATCACAATTTGAATCTAGCAAGCTATCATAAGAAATGTATTTATCAAAGATCACTGTTTAATAAGGTGTTAAGAAATGATCACTAATTATTTAATTAAATACTTCAAGATTAGATTCGTCAAAAAATATTTGGAATCAGAATATCCAGAATCATTTTTATTATTTTCAGGACAATGATAATAAACTAAACTTCGCAATCTACTCTTGATATACAGCAGCATAAAATATTTTTCATTTTCTATTTTATAAAAAGGCAAAGGATTTAGTTGTTAAAATAGCGGTTATATGTAATACCTTATATTTATTTTTAAATAACAATGCAAAAACTATGGAGTAAAACTTTAGTGGCAATATTAGCTAAGAGTTTTATATCTTTCAATTAATTTACTCTACCACGATAATACTATTACCAACCATGTAATTATTATGTCTTCTATGGAACAGCGATTACTATCGATTTCGTCGTCATTTCACTGTATCATTAACAGGCATCACTTCAAACTAGGTCAACATCTAAAGTTGAATTAAAGTTCTGCCATAAAATAGCTTTGCAACAAGATAACGTAATGTACCATAAATAAGTCAATTTCTTGAACCACGTATCAAGGAACGATATCAGCACTATCAGGAACAATTTTGCTCTATTAGCAGACTACACAAAGACTTAGACACCTCTTATTTTACGTTAAACACTAAGTTTAAGAATTAACTTTATTACACGATATATTGCGTTTATATACTCTTCCTCAATAGCTCATAAGTCATAGTTAGTACGATTAACTTAGGAATCATTCTCTGAATTAGACATTAATTTTAGCTACTGCTCCCTAATACAGACTACAGTATTTATAAACATAGACATCTGATGACTAATACAGAATAGTCAGATTACGATATGTCCTATCACGGAACGTTTCCAAGATAATTTACAATCTACCATGAGTAAGTTACAGTCACAACGATTCGAACTGTAAGTCGATAATTCGAATTCCCTAATACAACTATTAATTTCAGTATATGTATAATATGTCACTGTCACATAAAGCCAGTGCTATATTAAAACACGATATATACAAATTAGAAGTTAACTAAATAAGGATAGGCTAACGAATTTATCCTAACATAGATATTTCTATTCTAAGACAGTATATAACACTATCACAAGTTCAAAGAAAATGTTAATTAATACATGAACCTTTCCAGTATCATTATTAGAAGCATCTTCTATGCTTATAAAACTTCTTATCATTAATAAATGTAATGTTTAAGTTATTCATGTCCCTGCAATTAAGTCATTAATTAAGTCAATTCCAATTCGTCATTTAGCTATTTTCCAATTAGTATTATATATCCCAATATTTCACTCTGCAAGATAGGAAATTGTATAGTGTAGACTGATACAAAACTGTTACAAACTAACATTGCAACGACAATACCATAAATTGGAAACCAATTTCTGAATTCATAAAGTTTTAAAGAATAAATGGCCCTAACTCTAACTTACAGTTGATAGTGATCAAAAATCCGCTAAGTTTACCTTAGCTAAAAATCAGAAATCCGATTTTCTCCTGTAATCTGTCGAATATTAACTCTCTTCGGTCGTTAACAGCTATACTTAAATTCCTCAAAATTAAGGCTGCTAATATACTGTGGTATTATACGAATATATAGATAGTGTAATATGATATTTAATATACGTAATTAGCTGATAATGTGGCTGTCCGAAGAACCTTCCATGATACAACGTAAAGTCTACTACCTATAGAATTATTCTTATAAAGATTCAAACAGAAAATAATTAGTCTCATCTAACACTTAATAAAGGTTATAATTAGGTATACATGTAAAATTATGAAGAAATTCAAAATTTCTGTGAATTGGAAATTCATTAATTTTACAGAAAAGTATACGTCCACGGCCTTGGGAATGATTTTGCTCAATCGATCATAATTTCACATACTGTAAATGAGCAATGAGCTCATAGTAATATGATAGAGGGGGCTAATAACGTAACTTTTCTGAACGCTTCTGTATAGAATGTTTCACATTTTAAAAGTAGATGCTATAAAGAGTGAAATATTTTGAACTTGTTAATTTTATATTTTTGAAATTTGGTTATTATTGTGATTTATTTTCTTGTGTTTACGTAATTGGTATACGTTATAAAAATATATTATAACTATATGGCTAAATGTACCTAATTAGTGATAATAATTATAATTGTTTTGAATGCTATTTTTTTAACTTCTAAAATTTCATGAATTATTTGTAATAACTGGCAACACAATTGTTATTCGGTATCTTTCATATGGCTTTATTGTAGCAAAATTTCTCACTTACAAGCTATCATCAGATTTAATAAGTACTAATTTATTGGATGATTAGGAATTAAGTCTCTTTATTTAATGTGTGATGAAATCTAATTCATTCAGTGACATTAATAGTAATTAATCAGTTACGTAGAGGTACATCGATTATTGTTACTGATTAAAAAATTTTTCTCACTCAAAATTATTTACTGCAATACTTTACATTTTATGATACTGTTTAAATCAGCCCCATCACACTGCCTTACAGAATATCTGTTTCTGTTTCAATTTCTTTCAATGGTAACTTTCTTATTATTTTCTACGATGACAATATAAATTAATTACCAATAAGTCAATTCTACCGTACCTCATAATTTGTATGGAGCTGCAACAGTTTCAACATATTAATAAAATATTGAAAAGCGCGAGTTCTTGCACAGTCTTGAGAAATTAATTATTGAATTTCGTTTAAACATTTTTCGTAGCAATACATTAATCTTCAATATAAATGTTTAATAAAAGGTTATGATGAAAATTTGACATCTTTGCTTTTAAAATACAGTATTCTTACTTCAAATTGATAACGTGTTATTAGCTGAACTTTAATGTAAATCCCACTGTAAGTAAAAAAAGTACTATGATTGGCATCTTCTATTGCATAGATAACGGCTAGTAAGCAATTGTTTCTAAGCTGCTCAAATAACAGTTGTCACTTTAATTAGATTATTAAGGTAACATTCAATTGTAATCTATCTAACAAGATTAAAGTTCAAGTTTCCAATAAATTACGTACTTAGAAAGCGGACTCGAATAAAACGTTTTAAACCTTTTGAAAAAAACTTTAACATGTTTGTACTGTTATTAATTGTTAGAAAACGCTAAATTATCTTTCTGTATATGTGCCAGCTTTGATTAGTTTATGTTATCAAGTTACATTATTTTAAGATAGCCTTTTATTTAAACTGGATTCTTGAAAATTAAATAATAAACATTGAGAATTTTTTCAGTAGCTATATCTTCTGTAAGCGGATAAGAAATAATTTCTACGAAAGCACTAATAAGATTTTAAATTTTGTACAGAGTCAATTGCAAACTTTTTCAAACTATCACCGGTAATCAGTTATGGCTCCTATACATAAAATAATTAAGTTGTCGATGGTCATTTGGGTATACATGGTAGGTTTCAAGCAGAATTGCAATTTATACTATGTGTCTACGTAGTCTTTTGACTTCGGTTATTTTTAATGCATACCCGATAAATATGGATGTGATTGTAAGCATTTGATGAATATCAGTTACGCTACTTCAAAACAAAGTCGAAGTATCTCATTTGAACTAAATTATGTGTGCATTTCTGACTTTTCTCGTTTAGGTTCTTCAAAGCCGAATAGGTACTATGCTGTAGTTGAATAAATTTTCGGATTTCTATAGCTCCTAAAATACGTAGGAAAAGATATTCCGATATGAATTATTTTGCCGTGATACTTCTGATCTAATCATTCTGCTTAAGATAGATGGAATGAATATTTTAAATAATGTCAGAGAACTTAAAATGCTAACTTACTGCAGTTCTCTGGATTTGAAATTTACGCCCAAATTAATGTTTTGTTGTGTAACTTCAATTCTCCTGTTCTCGCTTTAATCTATTTTTATCGAATGGTTTCAATACTGAAATATGTAGTTGCTTCTGATGTGGTTAATGGTACTTGTGATCCAGATTGGCTACAATTTAGAGACAAATGTATTTCTTTTTCCTCCAGCATGAAGTATGGAAATGCGTTAAAGTATTGCCAAGGAATCAACAGTAGTTTGGTGGAAATTGATAGTGCAGAAAAGGAAGCATTTATTGGAAATTCTATTTCAGATCCATCAACTACTTACTGGTTAGGATTGGTGGATTTGGTTGGCAATGATGACTTTAACGATCATATATGGGTGCAAAGCAATCGTTCCGTCATTGCTACTGGCTATCAAAACTGGGGTCCTTATGATCCCGACAATAAGTTTCATCGTTGCGTAATTTCAAGCAATTTGCCGCCTTATGTATGGCTTGATCGGAATTGTGAGGACACTTATAATACTATATGTGAAAAGAGTAAGCTGGTATTATTAAACACAACTATATCATTATTTCGTTGTGATTAAATACAATTTGAATACTGTGTTACACCGAGTTTTCTTTTCATATCTAAGTACCAGATATAGTCTGTTTCGACGTAAATTAAGAGCGAACCATTTAGATTCATATTTTCTATTCTGATATAATAATTCATCACTGCAGTATCATTTCAATTTTAATTTTACCTGTATAATCCATTCAATAAGTTTGTAAAATATTTAATTTGGGAGAAAATTCTATACGGCGTTACATCATTTCATTACCGTAGTATCATTCCAATCCTAATTTAACTTGTATAAAAGTAGAAATGAGGTTTAATCCACTGATTATGTTCTCAAATGACGGCGTTTGTACATACCAAAATTTCGCAAGGAAATTTTCTATGCTGTTATATTATTTCATTACTACCACATCTTTCTAGTCTTAATTTTGCTTGCTTAATAATAGAGAAATAGGATGTATGTTGTGATCGTTAATTTAAGGAGTTTGCACATTATAGAGTTCGCAGAAAAATTTTTTACGTTGATATATATGTGACAGCCAATGTCCGCTACAATTTTACTTGTATATTAGTTGAGAAATGGCGGTGTATTTCACGTGCTATAATCCTCGAATGAAGGAGTTTGTAATTATATATTTGTAAGAAGATATTTCATTTCGGTTTTTGAAAATTATATTATCTTATCTTTTATAGCAATAAAATGTTCGATTACTAAATTGCTATAATTTACCCAGTTTAGGATAGTCAAAAGAAATACGTATAAGATATCCTAAGAATATATGATTATGCTATTTATTCAATATCAGTAGTATACTGACGGAGCAAGTGAATATATTGTTTGCGTTATTATTTTAAGATTCGATGAAAGATATTATGGCTTCGTCAACAGTTGGATATCCAATGTCGTCGACTGCAGGTATGTAACCGCTCAATACTTTTCATTTGTACTTTGATGGCTTCACTATGCAGAAACTTCGTTTGACAGTAATGGTATTAAAAGCTGTGTCTTGGTAAATATTGTAGATTTTACCTTATAGCGGCTTGATATAGTGCTTAAAACATTCTCCGCAAGAATTAAGAGGTCGATTGCGGACAAAATGTCGTACGATATTGAAAATTTTTCCCGTATATTGATTTATCATTTTCAGTTTGATTTAGATAGTAGATAATTAATATTAAATAGTAGTACAGATTATAAATTTTTGCAATATTTTTAAGCTCTCTTGGGCTTTAATTAGGATTTCAAAAGTTTCATAGGCAGTTTCCATGGTTCTATTAGTCTATAAATTATAAATTAATTACAGAGTTGCAGCATCAATCATTCTCTTCTCTCATCTTTCATCTTAATATCTAGTAATATCAGTACTAATTTCTACTTGCATTCCTGTGATAGTAAATGCTGCTCGAAGTAATGTTTGATAGCTCAAGGTATACTGTATATGGCACTCTTCACAAGTTAATGTTACAGTACTTCCTAAATTAATAATTAGATTATTTATTATTTTAAAAAAATTTTATGTCTTCGGAAGTCAGTACAAATCTGACCAGTGCATAACTCTGTAATCTATAGTGATAGTAATTCAAAACAATTAAGGCCTAAAATGTTAAAAGTCGAATATTCACTAAAGCTTTAAATGAGTCATAAAACACTTAGCATTTCTATTTCATAGGTATATTAAATATTTATAATAAATTTATTACTAGTATCATCAGGAACGATTACAGTATGCCCGTGTTTCTTGTAAAGGCAATATGTTTAAAATAAGAAACTGTATCACTACTTTAGGATGTATATATTCTGATTAGTTGCCTAATCTTAACAATGCAGCATAGCTTGTCCGTATTATTAATTACATATAATTATTCATTCTCTACATTCGGCTGCAGTCGTAAAAACATACAACTAAAGTACCGTACCTAAGCAAGTTCTCTCTTAAATTGGTATCTTGTTAGTATGGGACATCTCTGCCGCAATAATAATTTGAATAATACCTAAATACATTGTTTGATAACGATCTAATGAAGAAATTCATTTATAAATAATGGGTAGGCTATAAGCTGCAAAAAATTATGCTCTGAAAAATAATTCCATTATGCGTACTATATAATTTTTATTTATTTTTTTCTAACATTTAGTAATAACATCATTGAATTGATACCTGAACTAAAAGAATTGTTTGTTCATATAGTATATTAACTTATAGTTCTATTATGGAGATTACTTTATAAGATAACTCAAAAATGATTTTAATGCTAATTCTACTGCTTGAAGTAATTATAGAGATTTCAAAACTACCTGAACCTAGTTGTGATACCGGATGGATCCAATATACTGTAATGACGCTTGCCTAAAATATGTAGCCATTTATTCCAGTTTCACAGTAACTACCAGTTATTATTAATAAAGTGACAGTTATTACTTTAGATTAAAAATGAGTACAAACAATCCTTTTTTGAGAAAAGTAAAATATTCAAAAAAATAGGCACCATTATTATTTATATACTTTATTTACCATCGATGATAAAAGAAAAATAACTGCATCCATCACTAATACTGTTTCACCCAATTAGATGTTATCATTCTATTTTTAATTACATTATTTGTTATAAGTTTTGTTAATTTGTTTATGTTAAATACTACACAAATTATACTACTTGTATATGCTAAATTAGTAAAATTAAAGTGATGAATTGCTTTCAATTTTAGTATATCTAATTCATCGTGAACAGCTTTCAATCATTTTACCACTCGTTACGGATGTCTGATAATTGATCGATAATGTAATATTTTTATTCTTTTCTTCTTGCTTGACATCTTACATTTATTAGTAATAATAATTAACAGCGATATAGTCACACCTTTTGGTAATTAAGTTTATGATTATCAAATAAATGCTAGATTACAAGTTCCGTAAATAAGAGCTGATTACAGTTACTTTTTATCAACATGCATCCCAAATAGAGACATACACGCGGAGATCTTCCTCATATACGGGAGAAATAACATCAAGCATAGAGAATGAAGTATCAATCTCATCAACATCTGAAGGTAAGACACGGCTATTTATTTTTACTTTCTTACTTGTACAGTAGAAAAGTGATAAACATGATCTAGATATAGTATTTGCTATCCTATAAGACTAAAATCGTAAATCAATTACCATAAAGACTTCTCTATCTGTCGTATTTCTTCCTAATATATTAAATGTTATCTAGCGTTAGTTCCAAATATACTAAGTTAGTATTTGCTCTTTGTTTAGCAAAATCAAAAATGTGGTAGTTCATATAAGACTCAAAAAATTCTACAAACGTCTCTTCTTTATTTATTGCTCTCTAACTATTAGGCCTAGTATAGGTTTTAAGAGATTATATGCTTATAAATGATTTTGAGGCGCAAAACTTATGTAATAGTCCAATACGAAGTTTTACGACATCATAACATTATTACATTTCGTATATCCAAGGTACAGGCAACCCAAAATAGTATCAACATTTTATTTTGACGGCATAACATATTCTTTACATTGGTAGTGGCGTTTATTTTCACAATAAAGGGAAAAGTGAATTTAGGATACATGATTGTAATTTTATATCGTGATAGTAATTTTAAATTTTAACATTATAAGCAATTGATGGTATAAAGTATTTTGCACATTGTTAGCGGTATTCAGTTACACACTAAAGGGAAACATAGAGCTATGACAATATATGCAATAACAATAATGACATTTTTAATTGTTATATCACGAAGCTAATTATAAATTTTAATATTACAGTAAAATATGCGCTCAATCTTCGAAAATTTTACTATCTCATGCAGTATGTGATTTTATCAGTATACTGGTAATTAAAATTACATAACGAATTAAATGAAATCAATAAATAGTAATTATAATTAAGAGAATTTGATAAATTAAAAGTTGATTGAAAGCTTACATTGGTGTGATTTATACCAATCACGAAATTCCAAATTTTAGAAAAATAAAGGCTTTATTGAATCTTATACAAAGATTAACTACACACAGCTCTACTTTAGCCGAATACTACTACTAAAGACTTCTAGAACGAACTAACAGAATGATCTAAAGTTGTATGCTTTTATACTTTCCGTAGCATTCGCAGCTACAATCCGCATAGCAATTTTTTACCTTATTTTACACATAGTTAACTTATTCTTAGTAAGACTATTCTACTGCGGACCATCATTAATCCAATATGGATATGACTACAGTACTTACGTAGACATTATTCACACCAGCCAAAATACAATGAATTAACCATATCCTAATATATGATTTACAGTTCTATTTTTACCTATAGCCATATTAGTAACTCAACAGCTTACTGTATATAGTCATCTGTACTCTAGCATAGAGTCTCTACCACTACAGTCTATAGTTACAGCTACCAAATATCTCTTAGGATAAATATCTACCGTACATTATACTACACATGGCTAACAGTCTACAATCACACTACTAAGTCACATTACAATTGGGGATAGACTAGAAATTGAAAACATCTTCTAATTTATAATTTAAACGAAAAGGCTTAATGATTTTTATTAGGATTAAGTAGAATACAAGCTAAGCAGTATATAAATTAATAAAGTTATTTATGGATAAATGAGAGCGTCACGGTACGAACTACCGTGAAGAAATAGCTATCTAAATTTGGTAAATATTATATAGCGATAATATATTACAACTAGTGTCACAAAACAGCTNTGCAACAAGATAACGCAATATACGATCAATAAGTCAATTCCTTGAACCACGTATCAAGGAACGATATCTGCACTATCACAAACACTTTTGCTCTACTAGCAGACTACACAAAGACTTAAACGCCTCGTATTTTACGTTAAACACTAAGTTGGACAATTCTTCTTTATTTCACGATATACTGCATTTATATACTATTCCTCAATAGTTCATGAGTCATAGTTAATACAATTAACATTAGAATCATTTACTGAATTAGATATTAATTTTAGCTACTGCTCCCTTAATGCAGACAACAGTATTTATGAACATAGACATATAATGACTAATACAGAATAGTCAGATTACGATATGTCCTATCACGGAACATTTCCATGATAATTTACAGTCTACTATAAGTAAATTACAATCACAATGATTCGAACTGTAAGCAGATGATTTGCATTCCCTATTATAACTATTAATTTCAGTATGTGTATAAGTGTCACTGTCATAAAAAATCAGTGCTATATTAAAATACAGTATATCCAAATTAGAAGTTAACTAAATAAGGATAGTCTAACAGAATTATCCTAACATAGTTATTTCTACTGTAATACAGTATTTAACACTGTAACAACTAGTTACTTACAATAGGAATTACTCTAATTATGAATGTGTTACAATAAATTTAATGCTGTGCTGTAAGATACACTGAAATGATTCTGTGAATGGACATATTGTAGTCTGACAGGAAAAAATTAGTTAGTAGATA